GCCTGCCGGCCGGGCACCACCCTCACGCTCTCACCTGACCCCGCACGCCCCACAGGGAAGAAGTCGCTATGAACTGCCTTTGATGAACTTGGAAACGATACAAAGCTGAAAAGTCACAATAAGCGTTTCTCCAAAGACCAAATCCAACTTAAAAACGGCCGCCACAGTTCTTATTAGACTCATTTTTTAAAAACAGGTCTTTGGTCTCAGGGCTCAATCCCCAGTGTGGGGCGGGCAGGAGGCAGCCGATCCATGGTTCTCTCTCATCATTGATGTTTCTCTCTCTCTCTCCTCCTCCCTTCCTCTCTGAACTCTCTATGGAAAGAATATCCTCAGGTGAGGATTTTTTGATGTTCCTCTCTCACAATGATGTCTCTTTCTCTCTCTCTCAAATCAATAAAAATATATTCTTGCCCCAGCCGGTTTGGCTCAGTGGATAGAGTGTGGGCCTGCGGATTGAAGGGTCCTGGGTTCGAACCCAGTGAAGGGCACATGCCTGGGCTGTGGGCTCAATCCCCAGTGTGGGGCGGGCAGGAGGCAGCCGATCCATGGTTCTCTCTCATCATTGATGTTTCTCTCTCTCTCTCCTCCTCCCTTCCTCTCTGAAATCAATAAAAATACTTTTTAAATAAATAAATACAGGTCTTTGAATGGAATTATTTGTTCTGGTCTGGAAATATGGGCAAAATCTTATGAATCCAGACCCCTCCCTCCATCGCCAAAAAAAGAGCCACACAAAACAAGACAGGAAGTGGGGGAGCATTTTGAGGAGGGGGAGCTCCCTTCTCCCTGGGAGGGCAGTGGGGGGAGGGGTCACGGCAGCTCTAGGGAGACACTGTCACCTCCTCCCAGCGAAGCCAAGGTCATCCAAGGTCGGGGGTTGCGGGCACCCCCGGGGCCTCGAAGGCCCTGAACCCTGTGGGGTGGCTTGGGCCAGGGGAACCCCAAACCCCTGGCCCCCAGGGGCACAGCAGAGGACACTCGGTCATGCCAGCTTCCGTGGGATGTCCGTGGACCCACAGCCATGGGGAACCCATCCCCGAGGCTCAGAGCAAAGACAGGGGCAGGTTCACACTGAGCCTGCCCAGCCTGCCCGAGCGCGTGACCCAGAACC